GGGGCCACCGCCCACATGCATCCACTGCAGGAGCCACCCGGGGGGGGGTGCTGGGCGGGTCATAGACAGGGCAGACGCACCCCCCAACTTCCCCCTCACTGCGCTCGGGTTCTGCGGCTCCCGGGCATGTGAGCTGTTGCTGCACCTCCCGGAGCAGGCTCAGGGCCCTGCGCCCTGGCGGCAGCTCACATGCCCGGGAGCCGCAGAGCCCGAGGGGGAGCTGGGAGGCACATGTGGGGGCTGGCACCGGGATGCATCCGCTGCAGCCTGCAGGAGCCCCCGGGGGGACACCGGAACGCAGCCTGGGCAGGAGGGGCAGGGGGCGCGGATGCTCCCCGCTAGCTGCACTGCCGCCTTTGCAGGGCTGCTGCCCCCCTGCGCCGCACCGGCTCCTCCATGGCTGGGGCTCACCGCCGTCGCAAGCGGGACGCTCTGGCTCTCCGGTGCCTCTGGAAGGCGGCTCCTCTCTGCTGAGCTGCTGCAGGGGCCCAAGCCCGGCAAAGCCAGTGAGTGGACTTGGGGCGGGGGCCGCCGGGGTGGGGTAGGGAGGGGAGGGCTCACGGGGTGGCTGTGCATCCTCCAGGGGAGTTCAGGGGGCGAGGAGGGGGGAACCTGGTCTGGGGAGCAGCTCCTGGGCATGGCTGGCCCCTGGGCAGGGTGGCCTCTGGAGTCTATAAAGGCTCGTTGGGATTTGCCTCTCAGTGAACCGATTGGGGGCGGGGCGGGGGCGCAAGGTGGAAGTTTCACCTAGGGCGCAAAATATCCTTGCACAGGCCCTGTCACCAGTCAGCCCTGAATTGAGCCTTTTCTACCCCCTCCAGGCCTGGCATTGGCGGCAGGCTTAGCTGGGCCCAAAGGCTGTCCTTAATCCCTGCCATGCTGGCAGGCAGTTTATCTGCTTCATCACAAACTTATTAACCAAAAGTAATGGGTCCAGTTTAATTTAAAAAATGGTTATATTTGTGAGCAAGAATATCCAGCTGAAGATCAGTTTGCTCTAAAAACAAATTTTAGAATGTTAAATTTTTTAATGTGAAAATATCCATTTCATGGAAATCTGTTGAAAAACAAAACATGTCTCATGAAATGAGAAATATTCTATACCAAATTTAGAGAGCTCTGTCACAGTTGTATGCACAACTTGAGAATGTACTGTTTGAAACATTTGTAAAATCCATTAAAAATAATTGTAAAAATTATATAAAATAATAGAGAAAAATATTGCATGTGGGAATTCTTTTCTAACTGTATTCTTTGGTATGGTAAGTACTTTCTTTAGTGCACACTCCAGTTCTAATCTAAAAGTCAATTTTAAAACTACTAGTTGTTTTGCAGATATCACCAATAAAACAGTGAGACAGCTTACATTGACAATCATAAAGAATGGCTCAGTTTCAAATAACACTTACATATCACCTAAATACAGGTTAGGCCACACTTCATCCACATGATTTAATTCCATCCTGCAGCTGTCCAAAACATGCTCCAGCTCTTTGACCAAAGGAGTGGCAGATGGGAAACGCTGATGGTTTGGAAGGTTCTGACCGTCTTCAGACATTGACCCTTTGGTTATGTATTGATTTAGCTTATCTGAGACCCGGTCAGATACGGTTGCTGAGGAATTGATAGTGGAGCTCCTGCTGAACTATGCCTTCTTTGCTGACACTTGATGTTTCCAAGCAGCTGGATCTCTTTAAATATGGCAGGCCTTATTTCAGCCCCTCTGATTCACTTGGCGCCATATCAGGGTTGGAATGGAAACTTTAACTGACAACACAAAAGTATGCAATAAACAAGTGTTAATCACAATATTGCCCGAAGTAAACAATGTTACTGGAGCTCAGAGGATCAGCCAGAGCTCTCTGCAAAAGAACTGTCATTCTACTCCAGCACTGTTCTAAGTATTAGTGGTAGTCAACTAAAAACAGGGAGACCGTTCATTTTAGAGAAAGGTCCAAAATAAACAAACTTCAGTAAGTTTCCACTGGAGATTTACGTGACTCTATCTAAGCTAAATATAATTAAGAAGGACTAGTCACCACTATGCTTATAAGTTTCTATATCTTTAACAACAAAATAATAATTAATTATCACAATGAGCTTTGCTGAGACTGAAGTAACCAGAAACAGGCATGACACCCACCCCATCAAATCACCCAAATGGAAATGCAGGAAATTCTGGGGAACGTCCAGCCCATCGCTTGTGTTTCTGACTCCATCTCTCATGGTTGGTGAAGTTTAACAAAGCACAGCTTGCTCCCATAATCACAACTGAGATCAGCCATGCCTCCTTCCAGGAACTTCCAAAGTCCCTAAAGATCCTGAGTTTCTAGTCAGTCCTGAACTTAACCACTGTATACAATGGGAAAAATGTTTTGGCCAGCACAAGAAAAGCAGCCTGCGTTTCACCAGCTCTTGTCTAATGCGGATGCCAACCTAACCTCCTTCATTGTGGGATCCTATATAGCTAGGGTCCCCATCAACAGGGCAACCATACGGGGACTGTTTATCAGAGTTTTGAGTGGGAGGATGAGAATTTCCCTGTATATACTCTTTATAAAGGACCTGACTGTTCCCTCTGGGATAGCCCTACCTGTGGGTGGGGCTTAGTTGATAAATGTATGCTTTGGATTCTTCTCTCCAAGCACGCCCCAGGGCAGTAAGAAGTGGGTATTTAAATAAAAGAAAGGAAATAAGGAAAGAAAGAACAGATTGGGGCAGGGCTGGGCAGAGAACATATGAGTGGGATTGTATGACAGGATTGCTTTTGATGGTGGCAGCAGGGCTCAGCAGTCCTGGAGGTCCCTTATGGTTTAGGTCTTAAAGCTCATGCAGCAGGGTGTCATCTGGTCACCTGCAGGAGTCAGGAACGGATTTTCTACACACACACGATTCCCCATGTTGGATTTTTGTTTTTTGGTCTTCTTCCTCTGAAGCATCAGAGATGGCCATGGCTGGAGATGGGACACTGGACAGGGAGGGTCAGGGCTCGGAGATGGCACCAAGCATTATTTCTCTTAGCTGGCTATTTCTTGCTCATATGCTCAGGGTCTAACCAATCACCATATGTAGGGTTGGGAAGGAATTTCCCCCTGGGTCAGATTGGTCCCTCCTATTTTTTTGCCTGTGGCATATAATAGTTTAATCTCCGGTGGGCTGTATAACTTTTGGTTATTGGGTTTAGTGTATGGGTGCTGGGTAGCCTGTGATATACAATAGCTCAGGCTAGATGATCTGGTGGGCCCTTCTGGCCTTAGACTCTGTGACTCTAAGTGCTGGGGCAGGGAGTGCCATGTGCCCATTAACGTTAGTGGCTGCGGAGTGGAGGTTGTCAGCACCTCATGGGATTTGGCCTTCAGAAGTGCCGAAGGGTCACGTTTTTAGAGATATTTAGGCACCTAAAGATGCAAATAGGCACCTACTGAGATTTTCAAAAGCACCTGGGCACCTAACGCCCATTGAAATCGATGGAAGTTATGTGCTTTTGAAAATCCCACTAGGTACCTACATCTTTAGGTACCTAGGAACCTTTCAAAATGTTCCTAAGTGACTTAAGAGCTCCTCGGTTATTTATATGCTTTTAAAAATGGTACCCAGTATGAACAAAGTACAAGCTGTGGTGCAGTATACTTGGGGTATATATGGTCTTGTTCATTTGCCTGCTAATTTGCAAAATTCAGTCACTTGCAATAACAGCTCTTCCAGTTATTAAAGGGAATGGTGAGTGTAGACTAGTAATGTAGTATCACCTCCTGGCCCTTGAGTAGTCATGAATGGTAGTGAGGACGTTTGTTTTCTTCCAGTAGGCTGCAGCAAGGTGTTTTCTCTCCTTAAAATAATATGGGTCTGATTCTATCACCCTTACTCATGTAGATTGGTGCCTTATTCCACAAGAAGTGCCATTACAATAAATAAAGCTACTCCTGGGGTAAGGTAATACTCAGTGTTAGTAAGTATGGGGCCCTTTATGAGCAAATAGTAAATGCATAAAATGCTGACTTTGCAAATAAAAAATAATGATTTCTCACTGACCAGCTCTTCTGACAGGAGAACATCATTGTGTTATTTCTGGTATGGATGCCAGTCCAGCTCAGCTTCACTTTGTACTTCTCTCATCTACACTATTCAGGAAACTACTCTTCAGGACAGTAAATATTAATTTATAACAGGAACAACTTCTGCAGCTGTGACTTCATGGGACAGATGTTAGGGAGCATGCAAAGCATTATTCTGACAGGGAATTCCATTAATCTCACTCATGTGAGTAATTCTGTCCAGCAGAAAGCCATTAAGATACACTATTTCCCTCACATATATTTTATATTTTTGATGCCTTCTCTTCCAAAGACTTAAAGCCTGAATTCTATTGTAATGTGAATGAGTTATAAATTATGATGAAACATTGACTCATACAAATCCCCATTAATCCAAATGGAGAACTTCAAAGCAAAGACATTTCCCCCCACTCTTTTGTGATGTATAAAGGTTGGCTTAAGGCAGTTGCTGTTTTTCAAAACATTTTCCGCTTGTGTTTTTTTTTTAACTTTGCAATGCCCCCCCTTCTATTCCATGGAGCTCCTTGGCAAGGTTTTGGAGAACCTGAATAGTTATGTCACAAAGCTGTGATCTGCACTCACACCCCGATTCAGCAAAGCAATTGAGCTCATGTTGAAACAAGGTATGGGTTTAAGCATAGGCGTAGTGCTGAGTTGAATCAGGATCCAAGCCTCGGGCTTTGTGTACACTGCCCCACAGTTCGGACTATGGGGATCTGAATAGCAGAGTGCACCAAAGTGCTGCGCTGTAATTCCCCATGTAGATGGTGAAGGCGCAAATGAAAAGGTGTCCAGTTTGCGTTAATGTAGTCCTGTTGGAAAAGGACTCAATTAATGTGAACTTAGGAACCTTTTAGTTTCCACCTGCAGCATCTGCACAGGGGAGTTACAGTATAGCACTTTGGTGCGCATTGCTATTCACACCCCTGCAGTCCGAACTGTGGGGCAGTTTCTTAGACTCTCCAGGAATCAAGTTTCACAAAGCTGTGGGATAGAAGAGAGGCAGTTGCTTAGTTACCTAGGGTTACCATACGTCCGGATTTTCCCGGACATGTCCGGCTTTTGGGGGCTCAAATCCCCGTCCGGGGGGAAATCCCCAAAAGCCGGGCATGTCCGGGAAAATCGGGAGGTCAG